CCGACCGTGAGTCAGGGTGAGGAATGGGAAAAACCCCGTAAAGCCCCACGTCGGCCATGGGGACGGGGCTGGGGACTCGTCCGCCTCCAGAGCAGTCAGGGAAGCATTAAAGTCACCCCAAAGTTCCTGCGAAGCCACAAGGGGAATTTTAAGGGGGGACAGGCATGGGGACACCCATGCCGGATGGAGGGCAGGGAGCTGGGGGACACAGGGATGAGACCCACAGGCAGAGGGAAAGGGAACTGGGAAGGCAGCGGCAGCGTGGGGACGCCAAGGCCGGTGGCACAGCCTGTCCCGGCTGGGTCGGTCCCTCCAGGCCACCGCGGGGGCCAGCGCTTGGTGGGTGCTGCTGGGGTGTCCCTGCTGCCAGGCTCTGTACCCGCTCCCTGCCTGCTGTCACCCCCCGGTCACTGCCCGGTAGCTGTGCCAGGCGGTCCCGCTCCGGTGAGGCTCCGCTGTACGGGTCATGTCCCCTGTAGCTGTGCTGTACAGTCCCCATCCTATACAGCTGTGCCATAAGGTCGATGTCCCCTGTAGCTGTGCCATACAGTCCCCGTCCTGTGGATGTGCCATGCAGTCCCCATCCTTTAGATCCCACTTTAGTACAGTGAGTTCTGTGTCCTCTGTAGCTGTGCGGTACAGTCCCCATCCTATGGCTGTGCCATAAGGTCTGCGTTCCCCGTAGCTGTGCCATACAGTCCCCATCCTATGGCTGTGCCATGCGGTTCACATCCTATGTAGATGTATAGTAAGTTCTGTGTCCTCTGTAGCTGTGCGGTACAGTCACCATCTTATAGCTGTGCCCTAAGGTCCGTGTCCCCCATGGCTGTGCCATACAGTCCCCATTGTACACAGATGTGCAATAAGGTCTGTGTCCTATGTAGCTGAGCCATACAGTCCCCATCCTATAGCTGTGCCATGTGGTCCGCATCCTGTGTAGCTGCGCCACAGAGGCCATGTCCTCCCTATCTGTGATGTATAGTCCCTATAGCATGTAGCTGTGCCATCTGGTCCCCATCCTACACAGCTGTGCAAAGCCGTCTCTGTCCTACATAGCCGTGCCATACAGTCTGCGTCCTTTGTATTTGTCCCATACAGTCTCCATCCTATATGGCTGTGCCATACAGTCCCTGCACTAATGTGGCTGTACTATATGGGCTAAGTTCTATGTAACTATGCCGTATGTCCCCATCCTGAGCAGCTGTGCCATATGGTCCCCGTCCTATTTAGCTGTGTAATGCAGTCCTTGTCCTAACTGCGCTATATGGTCCCTGGCTTATGTAGCTGTGGCATATGGTCCTCGTCCTACGTAACTGAGCTATACAGTCCCTGTCATATGTGACTGTGCCTGTATGGTCCCTGTCCTGTGTAGCTGTTCCGTATAGACCATGTCCTATTCATCAATGCCATACCATTCCCAACCTATGCAGCTGTGCTATATGGACGTCATCCTGTGTGACTGTGCCATATCATCCCTTTCCTATGCAGCTGTGCCATATGGTCCCCATCCTGAGTAGCTGCGTTATGTGGTCCATGACCTGAGTAGCTGTGCTATATGGTCCCCGTGCTGTGTAGCTGTGTCATATGGTCCCTGTCCTGCCTAGCTGTCCCCGTCCAGCTGCCGCCTCTCCCCTGCGGGGACCCGCGGGGCTGGAGGTGCCCGCAGCAGGTACAGTGCCATGGGCTGGGGGTGTCCACGGCAGCTACAGTGCCGCGGGGCCTCATGGACACAGCAGGCTTCCAAAGGTGGGGGACTTTGTGCCCCCCATCCCGGCAGGGACCAGAGATGCTCCCTGTGGGGTAAGCACAGTGCTGGGTCGTCCCTTTCCGTCCCTGGGGACAGGCTGCTCAGCGTAAGAGAGGGGCAGGAGTGACACAGTCTGTGTGAACCCCAAAGCCTGGTCCCATCCACCCCGTCATCTGAGCCCCAGTGCCACCTCTGTGTGGTCCAACAGCCAGCGGTGGCTCGTGAGGAATGTGTGTGTGACAACCTTCCCTCCTGAGTTTGCAGCACTGGGTCCATCCCCATTCCTGACCCGGTCTGAGACTGGCCAGCTTGTTACACAAGTGCCGAGGCGGCACAGCCGGATGCCGGGATGCCGGAGTGGCGCTGCCTGTCCCATGGGGCATCCTGGGCTGCTGGAGCCACCCCAGCTCTGCACACCCCAGCCCGGCCCCCCTGGGCGTTGCTCTCCACCCAGGGCCTTTGATCTGCTCCCAAAAAACCACTCTTCGCCCCCCCCAGCCCCTGACCCACCAGGGAGCCGTGGCGACGCCTTCCCTGCCCCCTGGTCTCGGCCACGCTGGAGTGAAGGAGAGGGCGGGCAGCTGGAAAAACATAAAGTGGATTTTCTTTCTTTCTTCCTTTTTATTTTTTTTTTTTCCCCCCGCTCGTTAATTAAAATGGGGAAAAGGCGCGGGATTTTGTAAGGGTTGGGGATGCGCTGCCCCGTCGGAGATATACCTTCGTGGAAGGGGAAAAAAATCCCTTCGTGGAGTGTGTGTGTGGGGGAAATAGGGTAGTGGGGGATGGAGGGGCAGCGCTGCGGCTCCTCACCGGCGG